TTTGACCAACCGGGTCCCATATCTGGCTCTATGTTTCGACGCATGACCGCATTCGCATTCGCATATCGCATACAGTGCATTTTTCATTTGTTTTGATTTTATCGGGATCACAGCTCTCGTCTCGTGTTTCAGGTGTTTTTAATCAATTCAGATAAGTAGAATCGTTTTTTTTTAGCAGTCGTGCTATTCCCGGTGTTTTCAGCTCGCGCTGTTATTTTTAGGGATATTTCGGTGTCCGTTTATTTTTACCGGCTATTTTTGTTGCGCTCTCGCAGTGTTATTTGCCGTTCGGTGCTATTTTTGTTCCTTCGGGAATTATTGTGATTTTTCTAGAATTTATTAGCTATTTTTAGATTTTTTATATAGCTTTAAAATCATTTTTAGATATAGAATATTAATAGATTTTTCTTTTAGAATATTAATTGAATTTTGAATATATTTTTTTAGACATAGAATATTAATAGTTTTTAGATAGTTTTAATTTTTTTTAATCCATTTTTAGAATATAATAGATTTTTTAATAGCTTTTAAATGTTCAATATAGATTTTTTCTTTTATTTTCTTTTATAGGATAATAGTTTAGAAATAAATAATATAGGTTTTTATTAGAGAGATTTAATAAATTTTAGATTAGTGAGTTTATTAGAGTTTTTTAATTAGAGCTTAATTGGAGTTAATAGAGTTTTAGGATAATTCTCTTTTTAGGATTAATTGAGATTTTATTAGATATTAATTAGGTGTTAGTTAATTAGGTTTAATCATCATTTAGTTAGTTAATTAGGATTAAATCTTAATCAAGTTTTTAACCATTTTTCAGTATTATGCAGATTTTCTTTTGGATTTTATTGTCATTTTCGTATTGGGCCATGAGTGGGGCGGAGGCCCAGTTATTCATTTTGTATCCATTTTCAAGTCCAGAATTTTCCAGAAGAATCCAGAATTCAGCATGTGTATAAATAATTCAGAGCCACGTGTTATCAAGAGGGGGGACCCACGTTACACACTTCACGCACGCCACCACACTTTCCACTTCACCCCAGAAGCTGCCACGTTTTCCACTATCCCAGCCCCTCATCCACGTGTGCGTCATGCACGCGTTCCCTGTGACACCTGTCCGCATCCAAGCCTTGCCGGATCTTCGCCGTTTGCATGGCCGGCGGCCATGCAGCCGCCGCGCCTGAATCTCTCCGGTCACCCTCCAACTGTCTCAGACCACCCTAACTGCCCCCCAACCGTTTCCGACCACCGCCCTCAGCCAACCCTTCGCCGGAAAACTGAGAAAATCTCCAGAATTCGTCTTCATCCTTTCTTCCATCTCCGATCATCATCAACAATTGGTACACTCATCATCATGATCATCCTCCAAGACTTTTCCAGAAAATCGTTCATCAAGTTCTTCGTAGATCTTCCTTCAAGATCCACCAAACCAGCAAGAACATTCAGGAGCCATCTCCGTCTTCATCAAAGCTTTCAAGAAAATCCCCCAGATTCCTTCAACATTGTTCATCGGAAGATACATTATCTTCATTCTTTCCAGAAGAACTATATGAATCTTCATCTTCTTGCTTCGCTCCTTCATCGTCGTTTTCCAGAACGGCTTGAATCATCAACACATGTTCATCCCTAGATCCAGAAATCTTCAGGTCCTTTAAGATCGCCAGAAAAGCCATGAATCTCTTCATCAAGATCTCTCATAAAGAATTCAAACAGGTTCTCTAATTTTCTTCGTCGTTTGTCACATCTTTTCCAGAAGGTTCCACCATATCTTCGAACCACATCACCTTCCGATCATCAACATCATCCAAGAACTTCGTTCAAACCCAGATCAAGAACATGCACTCCAATCCCCATGTTTTTTATATTTCCTTCAAGAGTATTACTCCTCCGTGTCAGATTCACGTGCTTCATCATCAACCTTTGTGTGGTTAAACGATGTTTTTTCCAGGCGCTCTTCAAAGACGATGAAGGCGTTCGTCTTTGATCTTCGACAATCTCCAATAATCATCGCAATAGGTTCGTTGATAGGTTCCGTTCGTTGTGGTGTTGGCAACATGATGATGGTGAAGGTAAGGTTGAGATTGAGCGTTCGAGAGAGAGTTCAGGGAGAAGAAACGATGGAAGCGGCGGTGAACAGTGGATTGGAGTAGAGAGGGAGAGTTCTAGGGTTTCTGTCTTGCTGAAAGTGAAAGGACGGGCTGAGAGAGTATGTGGGCCTCGAAGCCCAATGTTTCTTGCAATTCGCACCCCCATTCTCCTCCATTCCCCCCCCCCTTCTGGGTGTCTAACGAACTGGGCTGGGCCCCACGAGATTTTCTGCTTCATTCACTCCCAGTTTCACTAGCATACCCCCCTCTCAGTGTGTGTTTTACTTAGTGGGCTGGGCCCTGATTCAGTTTTGTGTTTTGCTTACCCCTTGTACTCTGCTGCACCCCCTCCTTTTGTTTTTTATTATTCTCATTGTAGTTGTTTTCTTTATGAAAAAAATAATAAGAAAAGAATATTGAATAAAAAAAAGGGGAGGAAATGAGAAAAAGGAAATATGGAGGAAAATATATAGAAAAAATATGGAGGAAAAAATATAGAAAAAATATGGAGAAAAATATATAGAAAAAATATAGTGAAAAATATATGAGAAAATATTTTGAAAAAAGAGATGAATAAAAGAATAGTGAAGAAAAATATATAGAAAAGAATATGAAAAAATGTATGAAAAAGGATTGAAAAAGAAACATGAAAAAAGAAGTAAGAAGAAAAAGAAATATTATGAAAAAAGATGGTGAGAAAATACTTGAAAATAGAGGAGAAAATATTTTGAAAAAAAAGATTGAAAAAAGGAAGAGGAATAGTAAGAAAAATAGCGAAAAATATTAGTATAGATATAATATTTTTTTGAGTACATTTCCTTTTAGGACATTTTTTCATAGAAATTCTTTTACACCTTTTTAGAGGTAATTTTTTAGAAGTCCACTTGTTAGGGGACTATTTTCCATTTGATTTTTCATAGGATAGGACAATATTTTCTAGGAGTTTATTTTCAGTATTCAACCATTGTAATCATTTTTCAGTATATCAATAAAATGAGATTTGAGCTGTGGTCCCGAAGTAGCCGAACTACAGCTGCTCTGATTCCTCGTACCAGACGAGGATATGTAGGCATAGGATGCGATATCCTAGCGAGCACACTAACAACTGACTTTCTGTTCTCTCGCTGCTGTGCGATCGAGACCTTCCCGCTGACGACTAATTGTTACCCTTTTTCTCTCTTGCCCGAGTGCATTTGAGACCAAACCATAGTTTTGCCCATAGGTTCCCGACCTTTGAAACCAGTTGTTTTTCTCACTGCTGTGTGAGAATGTTTTGTTTAGCCGTAGTTAGTCTGAACTACGTAAAGCTCTGATCTTCCATGCAGTGTGGAAGTACGTAGGCACAAGACGCGAGGTCTTGGCGAGCCAATTTCCCTGTAGTCCCGAACTACGTTGACTCTGACTTTCTCTCTTGAGAATACGTAGGCATAGAGTGCGACGCTCTATCGAGTCAATCCCTTTCCGTTTAGATTTAGCAGCCGTAGATAGATTGTTTTGCATCCTTTAGACAACCCAAGCAAGCGTGGATCCCGTCGAGTACGACGGACGTGAGGGGTGCTAATACCTTCCCCTTGTGTAACCGACTCCCGAACCCAGGTTTTGGTTGCGATGACCATACCTTTTCCCCGTTTTTTGCGAGGTTTACTTCGAGCGTTTCCTTTCCCTCCGTTGGGATAAATAACGCACGGTGGCGACTCTTCTGTCAGCCGGCGCCGATTTTCGCAGTAGCGACAGCGTCATCCCACTCAGGCAACATGTAGATGATGTTGAACCTTCTCATGTTAGATCTTCTCATGATGATGTTGGGGTACCTTTTGATGACGTTCCACAACCTCCACATGGTGCGGCTGATGGTCAACGTCTGTATATGATAGTAGTGATTATGGATAACCTCATGCGTTTGGTGAATCCATATGGCGAGGTTTATGGCATCATAAGCAACACACATAGCCCGTTGGAGACCTATTTGTACATTATGTGCAATATTACTAAGACATTGCATAACACTGTTTGTTAGATAATATTTTGGCACTTTCGTTGATGTATGATGCATATAACTTAACATTTGACAAACAGTTTCATAACTTTGAAAAACGATTATATAACATAAGAAAACATTAATAAATACAAAAACCTAAACGCTATTAGATGATTCTGGACGTTAAAACATCTTGATTATGTCGACAGATCTACAAATTGTCGCATCAAACTCGATTGTTCCCTTAGTTAGCCTACAATGATATGATCTCTACATAAATTTCAAATGATCAATGGTCTTCAACTCAATAAGGTTGTATTTCACCTCTCCATCAATATCAATTCAGTCTTCAAGAAACACGATCTTACTCACCTTTCAGTTATCAATGTCGGGCAACAAATCATTCAACTTGAATCTCAAAACAACGAGACATGCAGTGCCCTCCGGAAGCCGAAACTCTATAAGAAATTCCACTCTGTTGAAGTACAAAAAATGAGGAAGAATCATTGTAAAATATTATTCTTAACAACACATGACCCCTATTTATACAACTTTAAACTTATTTTAGATAAAAAAAGTAGGCGTTCCTTCCTTGCATTGCATTCCAAAACAGTGCCCCTGACGGTGCCGCTTTCCGCGCTACAGTCTATAACACGTTTATAGTCCTGATTCGGGTGGGACCCACGGTTACTACTGGCCAAATTGTCCTAACGACGACGTATTGACGCGCGGATATTGCAACGCATGTCCCGTGAAACGAACATGTATTGAAGAGTATTGGAAAAGTAATGTGCTGTTTCATTTCTATCTTCAACCCATTCCAGTTCATAATTCTTGTTCATTGTTCATATCATCATCAACATAGCATATATCTATTTTCCATTTATTAAAATAAGATATATAAATAAAAATTGAAATATCTGGTTTGGGAATTGGAAATGGCGGCAAGAACTTTGAAGAGACGCCACGTGTCCAGTAGGTTAAGCTGCAAGGTGTTCATCCTCTTCTCCGTTTCCGTCTTCTGTGTCTTCGTTTTGGTCACCGCAGCTCTCTGCACTCTTCACTCCAATTCTACCAAACCCTCAATTCGAATTTCTCAAGCTTTTTTTCATGGTCCTCCCAAAATTGCTTTCTTGTTTCTCGTTCGCCGTAACGTTCCTCTTGATTTTCTTTGGGGTGCTTTCTTCCAGGTTTCCACTTTTTCTTCTTCTTCCTCTTTTTTAGTATTTTATTGATTGGTTGTTGAATTTTTCGGGATGATTTCAACGGTTTTGTTTTATTTTTCTGCAGAACGGCGACGTTTCGAATTTCTCGATTTATGTTCATTCAGCGCCAGGGTTTGTGTTGGATGAGTCAACTAGCAGGTCTCATTTCTTCTACGGTCGTCAACTCAGCAATAGCATTCAGGTGAGTTGAAAAAAACTCTCTTTTAAAATTCAATGGTTTCGTTTTATTTGAAAATTAATAGCATATGGGTGGAATTTATATTAGATGGAGTGTTGTGTGATTTTAGACTATGTCAAATTGGTTATAAAGTCTCGATTGTTGTCATTTATGTGTGGTTAAAGAAGTTAGTAATTTGTAATGTGATGCTTACATGATGGAGACATCACAGCCAATTTCATATTTTTGTTTCTATATTAGTTAAATAACCCAAATACATGAACATGTTGTTTTATCACCTGTTTTTAAGAATTCAGTGTTGTATATCTTAGGTTTTATGGGGGGAATCAAGTATGATTCAGGCTGAAAGGCTGTTATTGTCGGCGGCTTTGGAAGACCCTGCAAATCAAAGATTTGTTCTTCTCTCGGATAGGTTAATATTTTTCATGTTTTGTAATAAGATAAGTTTTTGCCAGATTGTTTTCTTCTTTCTCTGTTTCTTTTCTTCCTTTTCTTAACATTTCTTGAGACAGGGATGTGTTGGAACTTGGGATATGTTTTTGCATAAAAGTTACTTGGCTATAATAAGAATCTTAGTTTCTGTTTTCCATGTGCAGCTGTGTTCCTCTGTACAACTTTTCCTATGTGTACAATTATATCATGGGTTCTCCAAGGAGTTTTGTGGACAGGTAGAAGAAGGCTTTGGTTCTTGAGGTGCTTAGCACTTATTTATTTTTGTTGCTCGATCGTAATCAGTCTACACTTATATATTTGATAGGTAAATTGAACTGTTTTGTTTATATTGTTACAGTTTTCTAGATGTGAAAGAGGGTCGCTACAACCCAAAAATGTCACCTAAGATACCAAGGGAAAAATGGCGTAAAGGGTCCCAGGTTACTTTTCTTATCTTTGATTTCGTCTTACTGAACTTCATTGTTGTTCATTCCAATCATACACGACCCTTTCTCTTGGTATTTTTTTTGTCTACAATCACGTTTTTTTTTCTTGTTTTTTTTGCACAAATGCAACATATTGTCTAGATGTAATTCAAGATTTTAAAGAGCGTTCATGATGATAGCAGTGTTTTGAAACATGGTCAAATACAGCTGCTGTAGTCTCAATTGAGGTCGCATTGAACTTCTAGTCACATAATAAACCATTACGCCATGGCCCAAATCGCGGTTGGGGATCTCTGTACAAAAGTAACTTCTTTTTTTGTTCGCTCACAAATTTAGTTGATACTAGCTGATGATGAAGCATCAATTTGGCTTGTTGAAGGATTGATAGAGTATAAAGGAATGTTTGCCAAACAATAGAAACTAGATGGACATATAGATGTAGCCAATTATAGAATGTGATGTTAATATTACGAGGGATGTGAGGTTGTGCAAGACAAGATAGGATTAGAAATACAATCATGTAGGGTGAAGAAAGATCATTTAAAGGTAAATAGTCTGTCATTGAATCTAATATACAATAGGGCTTTATGACTTCAATTGATGGTTGATCCATGATGTAGACCCCACCTAGCTGGGAAAAGTTAGGCGGTGAATCATTCTAAACCGGTTTTAAGGGTTGCCAAAATGTCTCTAACATTCCTTTTCATTTTGCCTTCATCTTGGTATAATGTAGTGGTTGTATGCAATCTTTTTTTAATGTACTTGGGGAACAAATAGTTTATTGTTGTCACATTACTACAAACTAAAGCCAGTGTTGCTTCACAGAGCTGACATTGGTTACATGCTAAGTGCTTAGTGCTTACTGATAAAATTATAGTGCTCCACTTTCCATGTTTTGTGGGTAAGTTCTAATATGGGAATTTTAGCAGTAGCCGTTACACTGGGATTGTTGGATGAAATCTTCAACCTTTTTATCCTAAAAATTATGTCCTAATTTGAATTTATCCTGTTTTTCCAGTGGGTCACCTTAGTTCGTAACCATGCAGAAGTGATTGTTGACGATGAAGTTATCTTCTCTGTCTTTAAAAGTTACTGTAAGGTATGTGAGCTATCATTAGTTAGTTTAACTACAATACTACATTGGATACATTTTTGTATTCATTTATTAAAGTTTGCTGATGTTACATCATAATCATCATAAAGAATTCAAAACTAAACTCTTCAGCATACATTACTATACTAGACTGGACTAACTGCACGTCTGTAATATGCTAATACTGTTGAAAAACCTATCTAATGTCCTTCTTGCTTGGCAGAGGCGTCCACCAATTGATATCAGAAAGGGAAAGCTGAATCTTGTAAGTGGTCTAGTTTTAGTTTTCTTACATTCTCCGCATTTAATAGAGGGTTATTAGTTGAAAGATAGATGCTTTGAAGAAATGTTTGATTATACTGGAAGCTCCAAATAATTGTATCTGACTAAAAAAATTTAGACCCTGTTTTTTTTTTTTTTTTTTTTTTTTTTGTGAAAACATTTTGTTTCCATTTTCTAAAATATGTATTCATTTTATCCACGTGTGAAATTTGAGACAAAAATTCGATGTTTCGACAAGTGTACTGGTGTGGAAGGTGATATGATAATTTGAAAATTGATATGATGACGTAACAAGTGATATGATGACATTTTTGGTCAATTTGACTGATTTACTAACAATCTATAGTACATGTTTTTTGCCTGTTTTGATTCTTTTTTTGTTTTAAAGGATCATGACAATTCTACACATTGTCATATCACGTAACACAACAAAATTTTTTGCCATGATTTTACAAGTGAGCAAAAATGTCAAAGATTTAAAAAAAACTTGAAGGGCTATAATCTCGGATTTAGAAATGGAGGGATCAAAACCCCAAATTGAATCAAACATGAGAATAAAACAACAACTAATCCTTTTTTGAAATCAAACTAGATCATAAGCTGCTGTGTTCATTCGTGTAGAATATGTCTTATACGATTAGCGAAGTTCTGAAAGTTGAACAGACAGTCTATGGACTGGTCCGGTCAAGCTCTCAAGTACAGCAATACCGAAAACCATCTCTGAAGTTGGTAAACAAGGAAAACCACCCTTAACCAGTTTAACTTGTCTGGTTTTCAAAACATTGATAAGTCATGGGAACCACCCTTAATCTGTTTAAATTGTCTGGTTTTCAAAACATTGATAAGTCATGGGATGATATGTCTCTAGTTTACTAGTTTGTGAATTTCTTTTGATGAAACTCTGTTTCAAAACATTTTGTTTATGGACTGATGATGCTGTGATGCTACTCATTAACTATTTTGTTTTGCGATATGATTTGTTTATTTTCATATTTATTAATATTTGCTATGGATATGGTTTAATGATAATCATTTGATATGGTTTTGTGTAAGTGCAGAAACTTCAGAAGCAGCACAACTGTATTCCAGATGAGCACTATGTGCAGACATTGCTTGCAGTAAGTATTTATATATTTTTTCTCATTATCTACATTTGTTGGCCAGGGATGTGTTCTTCAATCCTATATTTTATTGCTTTTGCTTTATTCTCAAGTGACCTTAGTGAAATAATTTGCAATAACTCTTCAAGGGTTAATTTGCTTGATTATTGTTTATAATACAACAAATCATATTATATATTTCTGTTTTTGTGCTATTTTGCTAGCTGCACGGCCTTGAAGGTGAACTTGAGCGCAGAACAGTGACCTATACTTTGTGGAACCAGTCGGCAACAAAAACAGATAATAAAGGCTGGCATCCTATCACCTTCAGTTATGCAAATGCTGGTCCTCGAAAGATAAAGGAAATAAAGGTTATCTTTTGGTTCCTCTTACTACTTGAGTATATATTTATCAAGTTTTCGGTTTAAATGGATGATTGAGCTGGCTCAGTCTCCAGTCACCCATCAACAGGTGGGGTAAGAACCAAAACAAGATAAAAAGGAGGATTCACTTATTGAAACCCATTGTTTTTTTATTGCTCTGGAACATACTGGGGTTAGAATTTGGAATGGTTGAAAATTGCCTTGAAGCAATTAGAACTTTCTTTAGGATAAGATTCAAGTGTCCATGTTTCTTGGAAGATTTGATTAAAGGCTCTTAATTGGAAAACGAAAATAATTGTCATTGTTTTACTACCTACTGGCAAATTATTTGTTTTTTTTACCTCTTTTGTGCTCAAAATAAGATTTTATGGTTTTACATCAGTCAAACTAACTTTCTAATGTTTGTTGAAGTGATTACATGTTTTGGTGCACCTATTTTCTTTTTCTCATGTTTTTTTTTTAAACAGGACATCAGCCATGTTTATTATGAGACCGAGTACCGGACAGAATGGTGTCACAGCAATTCAACCTCTGTTCCATGTTTTTTGTTTGCTAGGAAATTCTCTCGGGGTGCAGCTATGCGCTTGTTGAGCGAAGGAGTTATTGACCACTTTGAACTTTCTGCATTACTAGGCAATGAATGACCTTTGAGACATGAGACTTGCTCTTTAGCCGTAAACTGATATCAAACTGACTGACTTAGAGACATATTCTTCCAAAGTTCCAACATCAAATGGAATTGGTTCAAGTTTATACACAACATACCCCACACATAAGTTTTGAAAACAAGTTTGTAGCTTTGGTTGAAATAGCTAAAGCTGTGTAGCAAGCCAATAGGACCATTTTATCTAGCTCAGTTAGAGGTTTTGTACATCAAACCATAGTTGTAACAGTGATCAGTCACACAGCAGGATGTTATTAGTAAAAATTTTATGAAGTTAAATTATTCCATTTCAAAATCATCATCAGGTCACATGCTTCAACACATTATCTTTACAGTGTCCATTTTTCTTGTGTTCCAGAATTTTATTTCCAGAAGATTGTTAAAGATCATGCAAATGATTCAATGGATGACTAAATCTAAATGGTTTAGCACCAACTTAACAAAAGATAAATAATCTTCAATGAAACCAAAATGTATTTATTTCTCATAAAATAACATATCAAGTGCCGCAAAATAAAATAAAAAATCAACGAATGTAAGAAGAAATAATGAATTACTGAGAGACAAGTGAGATAACATTTGTACTCAATGTTCAAAACTAAGCTAGAGCTTTCTTCCCTGAAGGTTTCCATCCTCTTTGGCGAGCTCTAAGTTCCCACAAAGCAGTTTCTTTCATCTGATTTTCAAGTGTTGTTTCAGCTCTTTCCCTAGCTTCCTCACATGTCTCCATTCCTGAATTGCACTTATCAGCTTCCTTTTGATATTGTGAAGCTACTTTCTTAGACTCTAACAGTAATATATCAGCACGTCTTTGCTTTTCTTCAGCTTCACCTTCTTTTTGCTTTAACTCTTCAGACAAAAGATCTGTGAAACTCTTCCCCGCTTCTTCACTCACCTCTGGATCCTGCCTCATGCAATCTATATAATATAATAATTAAACTTCATTTTCAATGATACTAGTATTCAACTTAAAAATTATAATTATATAACCGACATCGTGTCCATGTGTATCAGATACCGACACCTACACCGACGCTTGTGATTAATTACCTTTAGTTAAATTATTTTTTAAATTATTACTGGTATTGGTATTGCCGTGTTGGCGTCGGTGTAGTGTTTGGGGTGACCATACCTATTGTTTTTTTAGTGTAACGGAGGAAAGAGAACTAACCTAAGATAGAATTGTTGCTAAATCCTGCAGCATAAAACCAACAGAGACAGCAAAACAACAACCAATGTTAGACCAACCATGATCAGTGTCTATGTTAATAATCAAACAACATAAGTTAAGAAACAAAAGACAATCTTTGTCGTTAAAAAAAAAAGTAGAAAATTGAAAGGAGAATGAAAATGAAACCTTCTGGGATAGAAAGAAGGGATTGAAGAGAACAATCACAACGACAAGGAGGACAAGAAGAAGAAGAATCAGAACTGAAGGTGTCGTGGAGTGTCCATAACAAAGGTGGTCCTGCAAGATAACATGTTAGACCGATTCCCATAATCCAAAACAACACTTTGAATGCCCTTTGCTGCCTCCTATTCATCTTCTTTTTTTCTTGATTTGGCAGCAAATTATTGGGGAAATTAACAAGATCTTGATGATTTTGGGTTCGTTGTGGTAATTCAGTTTCAAGATTTGCGTATCTCTCTCACTCTCATCTTTCACTCACATGCATGCCTACGTGTGTCTCTTCGTAATTATTATTCTTCTCTATTGTTAATTGTTGTTTTGGTCATTCTCTTGTTAATTAAATACATTAATTAACTAATTTAAGCTTCTTTTTTTGTCTCATTCAAAGTGTGGCTTATTAACTAAAATTGAAAAAATTTAAGCCATGTAAACATATATATATTTTTGTTGAATATTTCCTATTATCAATATCTATTGTTATATGTCAATATGTATTGTTTGTTAAATAGATTTTTATAAAACTAAATATTGAAATAAAAATATTTTCTTTTTATATAATAAAAGTCATTTTAATAGTTATAGATAGATAGATTAGATTAAAAAAATTATTCATTTAAAATATACGACTTCTAATTATTTTAAATTTAGTCAACACAAACTAATTTTAAATTATCACTTAATATTTTTCATGTTTGATGTTGATTGATAAATTTTAGATATTAATTAAAAATATATCCTAATGTTATTTTACATTTATCGCTTTGTTCAATTTCTGATTTTATCAGAACATTAAATTTATTTAGCCAGTTTATCTACTATCCTCTAATTTTCACCCATAAACAAAAAAAATGTAAACCAAAACAATCATAGGCTAAACATCAAGGAAGATTTAAAATTAAATGATCTATTGATAATTATAGTTCATAATAACTTTTCATCATATAAGTTATAAATATGGGTGTGGTTGCTTTCAAAGTTCATGTCTACTTCCTCCATTTTGTTCATTTCCTTTCTCAATATTTTCATGGTATTCACTATTTCTAGAAACTGAGGGTGTGAGTTATGATCTGTGAAAAATGTAGTGATGATCCCATGTATGTCAATAAAGCTCCAACCAGGAATTTTTCTTAAGCCAAGAGATCTCATATGAGTCCAAACCTCACCCACACCTTCCCACTTGTTAGTTGATGCATAGCAGTGTGCTAGTTGTACATAATTTCCAGCACTCATAGGCCTCAGCTTGAGAATATCATTGGCAATTGTATCACCAAGTTCATTATTACCATTTGCTCGACAAGCATCGAGGATTATGCCCAACACATCAAGTGCAGGTTCTGAGAACATTTTCCTGTACAAGTTATACGACTCCTCTACCTTTCCAGCACGGCAGAGGAGATCTACCACACAAGCATGGTGTTCGAGATTTGGTGCAATCCCAAAATCTCGAGTCATAGATTTGTATATGTTCAAGCCTTGATCGATAAGTCCATTATGACTACAAGAAGATAAAACTGAGAGGAAAATCACATGGTTGGGTTTAATCCTAGTTTCTAGAAACTCTGAGTATAACCTCAATGCAGTTTCTCCTCTACCATGATAGCCATATCCTGAAATTATGGCACTCCATGAGACCAAATCATGACTTTGCATCTGGTTAAAACACCTTTGGGCAGTGTCCAAATCACCACATTTACAGTACATGTCTACCAAAGAAGTATCAACCAAGATGCAAGGCCCAAGACCATTTCTTATTACAAACCCTTGGATCCATTTTCCGGGGTGTAGTTGCCCCGTGGATGCACACCCTTGAAGAAGGGAAACAATGGTTATTGAATCAGGTGTTTGGTGACATGACCTCATTTCATTAAAAAGAGAAAATGCCTTATAAACATAGCCATTTTGAGCATATCCTGCAACTATGGCATTCCATGAAACTAAATCCCTTTTGCTCATGTTATCGAATACAATAGAACTCTGATCCAAGTGGCCACATTTTGCATACATGGTAACAAGAGAGTTATGAGCAGCAGTATCCAATGACAATTCTTGCCTTAATATATAACCATGAATAGCTGTTCCAATATTATAAGAGCCCATTTGTGTGCAAGCGGTAATCACACTGGCCATAGTCTCAGTAGACGGCTTCATCCCAAATTTCAACATCTGATTGAAAACTGCAAGTGCTTTGTCTGCATTCTCATTCTGCACAAGGCCAGAGATCATTGCTGTCCACAAAACTACATCCTTATCTAAACTCCGTTCAAACATTCTAAATGCAACATCAATGTTTCCACCTTTTAAGTACATTACAATCAACGATGTTTCAACATGTGCATCTAAGTCAAAACCAGCTCTTAAAATTTGGCCATGAACTAACTTTCCCAATCTCATATCACCTCTCAATGCAGCCACAGACAACACAGACCCGAAAGTCTGTAAACCAGCCTCAAAACCTTGTACCTTCATTGTCTTAAGAAGCAGCAAAACTTCACATAAATCCCCAATCTGGGCATAGGCAGATAGTAAAGAATTCCATGAAACAATATCTCTTTGATCAATAAAATCAAACAATTTCCTACAATCTTCAATGCTTCCACATTTCGCATACACATTCAGCAAAGAATTTGATAAGTTCAAATCTGACATAAACCCATAACAAGTTGCACAAGCATGCAAACACTGCACATGAGAAAGCTCCGAAACACCAAACAACAAGCTCAACAAAGTAACACTACTGGGTTGAGTTCCTTCGCAACGCATTTGGTGAAACAAAGAAAATGCCTCAGGAACATTACCCATACGAGAATAACACCCAATAACGGTAGTCCAAGGTACAACATTTTTCTCAGGCATAAAGTCAAACACTTTACGGGCAACTTCAGAACACCTAAATTTAACATAGAAATTGATCAATGAGGAAGCAATGTAAGAATCCGTGGATAACCCATTAACGATGACGCGTTGATGAAGTGAAATGCCTGAGAGAAAGAGGTTAAGAGAGGAACATGCTTTGAGAAGACTGGGGAAGGTGTAGGCATCAGAAAGGACGTGTGCATTGAGCATTGATGCATAGGTGATGAGAACTTGACGGTGAGAACCTTGGGTTGAATGGCGATTGATGATTGCATTGTATGAATGGGTGGTGGCTGAAGCTGGAGCTGGCGAAGAACGGTGTGGTGGTGATACTATAAACCGTTTTTGGGCCCTGAGACTGAGCAGTGAATGCGGTTTTGGTTTGTACGAGAGCATGGTCCATTCCTTGTGAAGTTGCTGAGCTCGAATATGAAAGACAGGTTTAGTTGAAACGATTTTGGCGCACAATTCTGAGACTAATGTTTCAATGTTATTGAGATTTATTACAAGAATTTTTGTGTTTTTTCTTGCACCAGCTACTGATAGAATGTGATCGAATCTAGGACCAAATAATTGAGAGACTCAAACAAAAAGACCATTTGTGTCACTTAGATTGGTTTGCTGGATTCACTTCACTTTAGTCTGTTAATCTTAATAGTCGGATATAAATATGACCGTCTAGACGGACTACTGCATATGTTTCAAATTTATTAGGATTAAAATGTGGTAAAACGAGGTTTCATAAAATATTTATACGATTAAGTTGTAGTTAAATAGAGCCTATATATTTTATTATTGCTAAATTATCTTTAACCTATACGACACATTCAAAAATTTGAGACGCATTCAATATAAATCAAATAGTTTGTGTAATAATTATTTACAACAACATTTTTTATAGCTGCTTATATACTGCAACTTAAAATTTTAATCATCTTATTTTCAAGGTCACAAAATTCTTCATCATCACGATAAAAATTAGAGAAAATCACTATTGTAAACGTGTCTTAAAATCTTTATTGATAGAGAAAAATAAAATATACTTTGAAGATTGTATTTACCACGAAAATCGGAAGAAAAGTCGAGAATTTTTTTTTCATTCGGTAAATAGTGTCTTCCGTACAGAGAATAGTGCTATCAGTACGAATGAATAGTGATGTTTGTACGGTGAATAGTATTTTTGAGTTTTCGGATTTTTCGATTCGGTCCATGGATTCATGTGATTTTGGACTTTCTTTGTTGGGTATTTGATATTACAAATATATATATATATATATATATATATATATATATATATATATATATATATATATATATATATATATATATATATATATATATATATATATATATATATATATATATATATATATATATATATATATATATATATATATATATATATATATATATATATATATATATATATATATATATATATATATATATATATATATATATATATATATATCTTATATGTTTGGTGTGTGACAATCTTAAAGTTTATCACAACAAGAGAGAGCAAGGGATTAAAGGTGTGAGATGTTGGATCGAACTCTAATATGGTCGAAGTCTATTCGCAAGTAATGCGTGTTGTAGTCGAAGTTTGTTCTAACATGCATTAGTCAATATTGCTAGGTTTGTTAGCATGTTGAATTGGGTCTTGCTTGTAAGCCCAATTGTCTAAGTTAGTTTGTACCCTAAGTTGGCTTGTAATGAGTAATTGTTAAAAAGCCCATTAGGTTAGTGTGCTATTTTTCTTATAAATAGGATGTTAGTTTCTCAATCTTGACATAAGGAAAAATAGGAAGATAAAATCCTAATTTCAAGGGAGAGAGGTTATTTTGTTATTCTTGTAATCTTGTTCTAAGAGCAAGGAAAGAATAACAGTTTAATAACCAATCCTTGTTGTTCCTTGTTGTTTTACCTTGTTTTCTTTGTTAACCCTAACCCTTGTGAGTTTCTTGATCATTAAGAAACCGTTTATACTTTGTTTAAAGGTATCCGATTCACAACAAATTGGTGCGGTGAGCGTGGAAAAGATGCCTTCAACAAAGTATGAGATTGAAAAGTTCACCAGTGTGAACGACTTCGGTCTGTGGCGCTTGAAGATGAAAGCCATATTGGTTCAACAGGGTTGTTTGGAAGCGTTGAAGGGTGAGGCAGCCATGGACGCTGCGTTAATGGCAAAAGAAAAGACGGGCATGATCGAGAAAGCCCACAGCGCAATATTGTTGAGCCTTGGTGATAAGGTTCTTCGACAGGTATCAAAGGAGACTACAGCATCGGGATTATGGGTGAAACTTGAAAGTTTGTACATGACCAAATCTCTGGTGAATCGACTCTACCTGAAGCAAGCTTTATATTCATTCAAGATGAATGAAGATAAAGTGTTGGCTGAGCAGTTGGATATGTTCAACAAGCTGATTCTTGATCTTGAAAATATTGATGTGAAGATCGATGATGAAGATCAAGCACTGTTGTTGCTGTGTGCTTTGCCCAAAACACATGCTCACTTCAAAGAAACTCTCTTGTATGGAAGGGAGTCCCTAACCTTTGAAGAAGTTCAATCAGCCTTGTATGCTAAGGACTTGAACGAACGAAAGGAGCATAAACCTTCGATGGTGGGCGAAGGTTTGACCGTTAAGGGAAAATTCTTGCGAAAGGATGGTAAGTTCGACAAGAAGAAAGGTAAAAGTCAACAGAAGTCTTATAGTGGTGAAACATCTAGTATTCGATGTTATCACTGTAAGAAGGAGGGTCACATAAGAAAGGTGTGCCTTGAACGCCTGGAAGATCATGGAGGTAATGGCAATGCAACCATTGTTCAAGATGACTTCGACTCATCTGATGTTCTTGTGGTTTCAAGTGGTGACTCGAGGAAAGAGTGGATTATGGATTCAGGTTGCACTTGGCACATGACTCCAAACAGAGATTTGTTCGAGGAGCTATGTGATCAAGATGGTGGATCTGTGTTGCTAGGAAACAACAAATCTTGCAAAATTGCAGGTATTGGATCTGTGAGATTCAAGCTCCATGATAAGTCAATAAGGTTATTGACTGAAGTCAGGTACGTACCTGACTTGAAGAGAAATTTGATTTCTCTTGGTGAATTCGACAGAAAAGGATACATTTTTCAAGGAGAGAAAAGTATCCTAAGAGTCATGAAGGGGTCGAAGGAAGTCTTGAGAGGCGTGAAGAAACAAGGCTTGTATACCCTTGAGGCTGAGGTTGTAAGTGGTTTGACAAATGTTGCATCCACGAAACTTATGTCGAAGACAGAATTATGGCATATGAGATTAGGCCATGTCAGCCAAAGAGGCCTGGTCGAATTAGGGAAGCAGAACCTGCTAGGAGGTGACAAAGTCGAAAAGTTGGAATTTTGTGAATCTTGTGTATTTGGTAAATCCTGTAGGGCGAAGTTTAACAAAGGCAAGCAAAGAACACATGGATCCCTGGATTATATTCATGCTGATCTTTGGGGGCCTGCAAGGAATCCTTCAAATTCAGGTGCAAGGTACTTTCTATCCATCGTTGATGACTATTCCAGAAAGCTATGGGTATTCATTTAGAAGACAAAGGATGAAACTTTTGAGAATTTCAAAAGTTGGAAGATTCTAGTCGAAACTCAGACTGACAGAAAGGTTAAGAGGTTGAGAACTGACAATGGCCTTGAATTCTGCAATGAAGCGTTCGAAAGTTACTGTGTTGGGTCTGGGATTGCAAGGAATAAGACTGTAGCAGGTACTCCTCAACAAAATGGCTTAGCTGAGAGATTCAATCAAACAATCCTTGAAAGGGTTAGATGCATGTTGGTTAGTGCTGGATTGAAGAAGGTGTTTTGGGTGGAAGCTGTTTCGACAACAGCTTACCTGATAAATAGATGTCCCTCGACTGCCTTGGGAATGAAGACACCTGAAGAAGTTTGGTCGGGACATCCACCTAGTCTCGACAGACTGAGAGTATTTGGCTGTGTGGCCTATGCTCATATTAGGCAAGACAAGGTCGAACCTAGAGCTCTGAAGTGCATGTTCATGGGATACCCTGAAGGAGTCAAAGCTTATAGGCTATGGTGCCTAGAGCCAGGTCACAGGAGGTGTATCACTAGTCGAGATGTAGTTTTCAATGAAGCAGAGATGGCTTTCAAGAAAACTGATGATGCAAGAAAACTGAGAGTATTTGGCTGTGTGGCCTATGCTCATATTAGGCAAGAGAAGGTCGAACCTAGATCTCTGAAGTGCATGTTCATGGGATACCTTGAAGGAGTCAAAGCTTATAGGCTATGGTGCCTAGAGCCAGGTCACAGGAGGTGTATCACTAGTCGAGATGTAGTTTTCAATGAAGCAGAGATGACTTTCAAGAAAACTGATGATGCTGACGAAAAGCTGGAACAGGAAGAGATTCCTGTTGAGGTGGAGCATGTTGATGCTGAATTGCTTACCCTAGATGAAGTCGAAGAAGACGCAGAAGATGTTGTCGAAGATGAGGATACTGATAATGACTACCTGCTAGCAAGAGACAGGTCGAGGAGAGTCATCAAGCCACCTCAGAGACTTGGGTATGCATATCTTATAGCTTATGCCTTAATCTCTGCAAGTGAGGTTCTAGACGAAGAACCTGTTGGTGTAAGCCCTAGAGGCCAATACTTTTTGGTACTTGTATCGGATTATTCGTTTAATAATAAAAGGTATTTATTTATTATGTTTGTCTTTCAGAATAATAAAGTCCCTAGAATAGTTAGTCTGTTTAATGAAATGTTAAGTGTGACTTAATCATGAGATCCCATTAAACATAAAGACATTATTCTTAAAATATCTGTAGTCAAGCTTTATTGCAAAGTGGGATAACATTAAAAGCATTGAGACTATTATGAAGATAGACTGATGATCACATCTCATGGATCATGGATAAAGAGTTATCAAGTCTTGACATAGGTATAAATATTAGGAGTAATATTTATACCGGATTGACCCGCTATGAGAATACTACATAGTATGTTATGCAAAGTGTCATAAGTTATTCTCATGGTGATAATGGTGTATTACCACCCTTCGACCTGAAACCACTATGGACCCTAGATGTAGAGTCGGGTGCTTTATTGCTGATCAAACATTATCCGTAACTGGATGATCATAAAGACAGTTGATGGGCACTCCACGAAGCATGCTGAGGGACATGAGTGTCCTAGATGGAATTTGCCAATCCTGCATAACAGGAGAAATGTCTAAGGGCCCAATATTGAACTGGACAAGGATGACACAGTGTATGCCTTGTGTTCAATATAGACATAGGGGCAAAAGGGTAATTGTACAAACATATATTATCACGAAAAAGGTTTTGTCAGATCACATGACATTTTCGTGACTTGGGTAGCAGTGATGTGTTGCTAGATACCG